ATATTTTAAAAACAGTTTCAATTATGGTATTTAAAGGGTGGCCACTTGAACTGTGACCTTTTCAGGTTCTTTTCAAGTTCAAAACACTGATATGAACTCCAAAACACACTGATAACTGCAAAATACACTATCATCACGCTTTACTTTAAAAAGAACAAATTTTGGAAATTCTCATACTGTATGTCAATTTTGTGGCCATCCATGTAATTATAAAATGAAAAGTACATCCTGTACCTTGCCTGATTGTGGTCAGAAAAAGTCACCAAAACTAACGCATTTCTCTCTTTTCTTGTTTTTCCCCCCAAATGCATGGATGAGAAATGGAACATGCCCTGTGAAGCCGTAAAAGAGATGCCATCTCCCCAGTGATGTCTCAGTCTGGTGCAAACCCAACTACCTGTGGGGCTCTCCTTCAAGGCTGGACGGACTCATCACAAGAAATGTGGGCAAATCCATGGCAATGTGGAGGTTAAAAAGTAAAACAATTACATGTATTGTCATGAAAATAACTCGTAACAGCAACAGGCAAAAGTGTTTTCCATCCTCTGTAGTTCGGATGGAGGGCAAACTCCTAATAGGAGGTTTCAAATCTTTCTGTAGACATTTGTCCAATGCTTGAAATTATTAGACACACTGGCATGATTCAAAGTAAGTGAAACTCTACACTTGCCATGGATTTGCTAAGATGAATCTACGATCAGATTTAACTTCTGAAACTAGGCACGTCACCTTTAACTTGTAAATTTTTAATGTTCTGCTCAATTCAATCTATTGGACATTACAGAAATTAATAGACTGGATTTTGAGTCAAGTTACATCCCTTCGGGTCAAATTTGAATGCTTTGGAATGAGAGGCACAGAGGACTTTAAAAAAACACGATGTACATGAAAGGGTTGCTGAATATGTGTACTTCTGTGGAAATTTTTTATACTCGATTCAAGAAATATTTTATGCCACATGCAGGTTATACAAGTTTAGATTGACACCATTCTCAACATGATTTAAATCATGTTACTTTGAGTAGTTGATCGCTTTGGTTTTGGAGTAAAACTTCTCTGTGCAGCCAATTTAGCTCAGTTCATATAGAGGCCCATACTCTTCCAATTTATCCTTTGTCCATTGTGATTAGATCAGTGAAAAGTATTAATTTATTTCATATGTGTTTTTGAAAAATAGACGTGCCTGGTTTCTAAGCTCCTTTTCGCCCAAATCAAGCAAATGTCTAAGTCTAAATGTTTGGCAAGCATTTTTTAAATGACTATGATATGCAGCTATTTCAAACCACAGATTAATTTAAAATGAGAGGATTCATGATACGGGCGTACAGTTGAGTGGTATTATACTCTCTAAATTCAAAAGTGTGAAAACTCAGTCTTTTCGAGTGAAAATTCACTCCCACTGTCGGAAACTAGGGACCAGACGTTTAAGATTGAAATCTCTTCAATCCAAAAGATCGAGTTTTCACTCGAGCTCCGACTGTAGTGATATTTTTTCAGATAAGTTCAATTGAAATTGGGAGTGAATTCCACTCTAAATCGTCGTGTCCCCAGTTTCACTCTTTCGGGTTTAGAGAGTATTTTCACTGCTTATTAACTGTTAGGATAAGTATTTATCAGTCTGAACATTTTGAATTGATCAAACTCCTCGAAAAAAAAAGCATCTTTAGCTTCAATACGACAGAATTAATTCCCCTTATGATGAGTCAAAACTTAATTTAAAAGACAATTCACATTATGTGCTGATATTAACTCTACTTCTGATTGCTTGACCCAACTGAATAAAAAGATCAGCTTTGTTGTTTGTGGTGTTTTCATTGAGAAGGGTATCTGCTGCCTACGGAAACCCATTTTCTGGTACATTTCATGGGCACTTTGCAATGGAAATGAAAACCAAAACAAACTGTAGTTTAAACTGCTCCTTATTAATACATTTTCACCCAACGGGAACTGACATTTATAAGACTGAAACTTAAGTGTATTGATTGGTTGTGATAGGCAGCAGATACAGTGCGTCTTTCAAGGGTAAACATTGGGCGAGTTGCATTTAGAACATGCATAAAAAAGCTTGAAAAATGAGTAAACATTCATGAGGGTGGTTTTAGCAAGTTGGTTCTTA